CTGCAGGGGTGGAGATAGGCCTTCCTGCAGGGGTGGAGTTAGGCTGTTCTGCAGGGGTGGAGTTGGGTGTCCGGCAGGGGTGGAGTTAGGCCCTTCTGCTGGGGTGGAGCTGGGCACCTGCCCCGATTGTCATCTCTCAAGAGCAGGGTCACAGGAGGGTTTCTGAGTCTTGTAGGTACAGAGACTCCTCATCTGAGGGTGACCCGTGAGGGCCATGCAGCTTCCAGCCTGCCAGGACACTAGCCTTGGTTGTAACCAATGGGTGTTGGTGCTGTGGGCCCCCTGGCCTGCAGGTCTGAGAAAGAAGTGCTCTCCCCGGCCTACAGGGCTATGGTGGTGCCAGGGGTACTCTGAGGGGCAGCGGGCAGTGAGGGAGGTGCAGAGGTGGCACTGCAGAGGTGGCCGTGACTTGGGATGAGGTCAGCTACTTCGGGTTTACCAAACCTCCCTGAGCCCTCAGACGTGAGCAGCCAGGCCTCGGTCCAGGGAGGGGTCCCCGGGGAGGTAGACTGTCTGGGCTATGTGGGCGGGCTGGGGAGCCCAGCTGGCAGGGGGGCTTCCTGGAGGAGGCCCTGTGGCTGCCTGGACTCTGCAGTGGACGTGAGGCCATTTCCAGGGTCTCCCTCTGCCTTCAGTGACTGGGAGGCCCTGGCTTGGGGGCGTTAATCCTGCCATGCCCCCCTCCCCCTCCCTTGAGCCAGCCTGGCTCCCTAAGAACCCTGGGCAGTGCCCGCCATCCTAGTCCTCAGGGGCTTGGTCTGGAGGGTGGGCAGTGGCGGGAACTGGAGACCATGGTCCATGGCGCCCCTGTGCTCCTGGTCCCATTGCCGGTGTCCCCCCTCTGCCCCCGGGCCTCAGTTCACTGGCCTGTGAAGTGGAGGCTGGGCAGTGCCTTCCTCCATTGAGACCCCTGCAGGTGGCGGGCAGTCCCGACCCAGGCCACCCACAGCCTGAAACCCTCAGAAAACAGAGTCTGGGGGGACAGCGTGCCTGCCGCACTGAGGTGCCCGAAGTTCTAAGCGGGCAATGCCACCCTCACCCTCTGTGCAAGTGTGGGGCCATCATCTGAGGCCCCTTCTGGCTGGCCCAGCTGGTCCTTCAGCCCCACGCCCACCCTGTGCTCCTAGTCACCCTGGCTGCTCCGAACACATCCCCAGCACCCCATCTCCTTGCCTTCTGCCCCCCGCTTTGCAGCATGAAAAGGCTTCGTGAGGTCCAGAGTCGAGCACGAATAGAATCCGGGGTGGGGGGTGTCCTCCAGAAGGTGGTTACTTTGGGGTTCCACAGAACCCCAGAGCCCCACAGGCCCCCGAAGTTCTCCCTGGAGGGTCTGCTCTGCAGGTGGGGGTGCGACCCGGCCAGGCGCCTCACTTTCCTCTCTTCACGCTTTTCCTTCCGTTGCTGCCTGTGAGCTGTCCTGTTTTCTGTTCAGCTGCCCTCCCGCCTCCTCCTGCCCCCTGTCTCCTCTCCCCGTGTTGTGGTCTCCCCTCTCGACGCCCTCCCACCTCTACCCTGCCTCTTGCTTTGCCAAACGGCTTCTTTTGGCATGCCCGGGTTCTGCTTCCGGCAGGGACTGGCCGGGCCGCTCCGACCGACGGAGCCGAGTCCCGGCAGCGTGTGGGGACAGCGGTGGAGCCAGGCGTGCTCGGGACCTTCTGACACAGGTCAGTGCGGGCTGAGCCAGCGTGCACGGATGCCGGGCGGTGCTGGAACTCCGGCCGGAGCTGGCGATGCTGGCATGTCTGGGGGGGCCGGCCGCGGTGTGGCAGCTCTGCGCCTGCTGCCACCCCTCCAGCCTCGGCCCCCGCTGTCTGGGGCTCTGGGATGCTGTCCCGGGACCCTGGGCGTGGCCCTCACATGGGGTACCAGGTGGCTCTGTGCAGTGCTGCCCCGCCCATGGTGCCCGTGGGCGCTCAGCCCGCCTGGTGCTGCTCCAAGGGGTACAGGTCCTGGTGGCCAACATCAGTGCTGTTGTTGTTGTTGTTGTTGTTGTGCCGGCAAGTTGGGCCCGGCTCACAGCCACCCCTCCTTGGTTTCCGAGGTGGTATCACTATAGAAGTAGATTGCCCCATCTTCCTTCCGAGGAGTGGCTGGTGGGTTTGAACCACCAGCCTTCTGGTTGGCAGTCACGTGCCTTAGGCACTACGTTACCAGTGCATTGGGACTTTAATCCATCTTTGCCGACCACTCTGTCTGGCAAGGGTGTGGGGCAGTCCACAGAACACACATGTGCAAAGTGTTACAGAGGGCCTCAACCTACCAGGAGAGAGGATGCCAGTTAAGTCATCCTGTGCACGGGGACCTGGGGGGCACAGCCATGTGCTCCCACATGCAGGCCTCTGTGGCCCGTGGGAGGAGTAGTTCTCTAGCCCTCGATGCCTGGCCTTGGCTGGGCTGACCCGCTTCCTTACCATTCCTGCACACTCGTGTCCCCGGCCGTCGGCTCTCCCCCTGGCTTCTGGTGGACTGTCCACACGGCTGACTCTGCCAGGCTGAGGTCTGGAGAGGGTTTGGGGCGTTGAACACCTACTCAGTGGAGACAAGAGGGTGGGAGGAGGCCAGGCAGGGTGGTGGGTGCCTGGGGTGGTGGGAGTGCAATGAGAGTGTGCAGCTCTGTGGAACTGAGGGTGGCCCTGTGCTCTGTGGTGGAGCATGATGAGTTAGGGTGGAGCCCAGGAATGGCCGGGGGTGGGGAGTCAGGGTAGGGGTAGGGGATCGAGGGCTGCCTAAGGAGAGGGCTGGGTGCTGAGGGCTGAGTAGAGTTCCTCCTGAGAGGGGTAGCCCAGCCCTCCAGGTGTGTGTGTGGGGGTGGCGAAGGGGTGGGGTGCTAGGAGTCCTGGACAGTAAGGCCCCAGGCTGTCTGTCTGTCCATCTCCCTTACCTGACTGCTGCCTGCCTGTCCTTCTAGCAGCCATCAGAGCCGGCAGGTGTCTGGGAGCTGGGGGCTGGAGCCAGTAGGCGGGCCCAGCTTTCTTCTGGGGGTCTCTCTGTGGAGCTATTCTTGTGGTTGGAAGCCAGTGCAGGCTGGGGGGCTGGGGGTGTGTGACCCCTGAAGCTGAAAGCCGGGAGGCCGGGCTCTGCACCTTCCTTCTGGGCCCGGTGGCGTGTTCTGCAGACATGCCATCCCGGCCTCTGCTGTGTTGCCTGGGAAACCCCGAGGACGCTGGGCCCCGTGTGTGGCTGCTTCCTTGGCTCCTCACCCCCAGGCCACCAAGATGGTGTGGGGCCCCGTGCTCTGCCAGGTTGTTGACAGAATACTCGGGTTGATTGGAGCTGGGGCACCCCAGTGAATGGGCCGGATGCCGGGAGCCCTGGTGGGCTGGGAGGGGCACTCCATTGAGGCAGGCTGCCCCTCGCCTCAGGGCCAGGCTTGGGTTCAGGGTCTCTTTGAGGCAAGGGCCTGGGGTCTGGAGGACATGTCCCTGTGCGGCACACAGTCTCCAGCGGTGGGGCCTGAGTTTGCTGGGCTGTCCACATCCTCACCTCCTGCTGGGGCCGCCTCCCGCTCTTGATTTATGGTCCCTGATTAGTGTGAGCATGTCCTATGTTGAGAGCATCAGAATTCCACACACGTGCAGCTGGGGCACCTCACTAACCTCCTCCAGGACTGGGGTGCCTCCCTAACACCTGCAGGTGCTTCCAGACTGTGGAAGTCCTGACCTCTGGGGTCCCCACAGTTCTGAAACTGGGTGGGGGAGGGGCTGGAAGTCCGAGCTTCTGGGTCCTGGACCCCACTCTCCACAGTGCCGGTCAGGGCCTTGTATCCTGACATCCCTACTGCCCTCCACTGCCCCCCGCTGGCCTTCACTGCCCTCGGACTGGGGCCACACCCTGGCAGAGATGTGAGCAGGCAGCAGCTGGGCGGGGTGGCCTGGGACCAGGCGAGTCCTGTCCCCGCAGGTCTCCTGTCTCCTGATTTCTGTGGCCTTCCCAGCTGCTCTGGGGCAGAAGTCTGAGGGTGGGGGCCCTGGGCGTGGGTGCTGGGACGCAGGCCTCCTGGTTGGAAGAGACAGTGGCCAGGTTTCCGCCATGGGTCTCTTGCCCGTCCTCCACCCCTCACGGATCTCTCATCTCCCCTGCAGGCCGAGGCAGCGGTGGCCGCGGTGGCGGTGGCAGAGACGGTCAGAGATGCGCCCCCTGCTGGAGGCCCCGATGGCGTGTCCCAGGCGTGGGGCCTCGGCGGGGCCTGTCCCACGGCCCTGGTCACCCCGCTGCCCGCAGTGGCGGGCTCCACAGGACCCTCGGCTGCCGTGTCCTTCTTTGTCAGGTGTGTGGTCTGGGCTCAGGGCTGCTGGAAAACGGGCAGCAGGGGGGCACGGGGTGGCCTGTGGCCTTTTCCTGGAGAACAGTGGTCTCTCCCACTGCTGTTGGAGGGGCCGGGAGGAGCAAAGGGGAGGGGTGTGTGGGATGACGAGGTCCCCGGGTGGCCAGCGAGGACAGCACCATCTGTCCCGAGCCTCAGTCATGTCTGAGGTGCTTCTGACCCCGGTGGGAACCCCCTTGCTGAGGGGAAGGTGTTCAGCCAGTTGCTGGAGTGTCCTGGGTTTGAACCCAGAGTCTGCGACGTCTGGGCAAGTCTGTGCCTCAGTTTTCATGTCTGTAAAATCGGACCGCCCCTTGTGTGTGGCTGAGGTGTGGTGAGTGCTTGATTGGGGCCACCTGGACAGGCCTGGCCCGTGCAAGGGAGTTCATCAGGACGCGGTGGGTGCTGTGCCGGCGAAGGGGATACGCCGGGAGAGGTCGGCACAGCTGTGGGCAGCTCCCACCACTCTGGGGGCGTGGGGGTGGGGAGCGGGCGTGCCCCGAGAGGGAGGATGTCCTGGGGGACGGGGCTGCACCCGGAACCCACAGTCACCATTCTCTCCGGCACGTCCCGGGTGTCCCGCGTCGGGGGATGACTCTGGCTCTCATGTTGGGGTGTGACCATAGTTCGCACGTCGGGGGTGACCCCAGCTATTGCACTGTGTCTCTGCCCCAGGCCCGGGGCTCTGGGGGGTTGGAAGCCTCTCTGTGTACCCCGGAATGCAGAACTTTAGGCCCTCAGGCACCGGGTCCTTGGGCATGTCAGAGCAGGGACAGCATGGGCGAAGCCAGCCCCTCCCGCCCGTCCAGGGCCCGGGGACTCTCAGACCCTGGCTGCCTTCTCCTTTCTCTCCACAAGAGGCTGGGGATTAAAGGGTGTCATTGTGGCCTAATGAGCAGTAATGTGGGCCCAGCTCAGGTCACAGTCCCATTAGCGGCCCTCACGCTGCTGATAAGTGATTGGCCGTCAGCCTGTCCGCAGCTCATGCTGGCCAGGCGGGCAAGCAGACGCCTTCTCAGCATGGGCTCAGGGGACTGCTGGCTGGTTGGGGAGTGACGGGGCATATGATCAGGGCATTGTTGCCGTGGCCGGGGAGCGCCTGCTGTGTGGCCCAGCCAGGAGTCACTAATGCGGCTACAGCCGGGCTGTGGCCCAATTAGGTGCAGGGCCCCGGTTGGGGCCCTGGGGTGGGGCTGGGTGGGGTCCTGGGGCCTCTGACAGCGGGACTGTGTGGGGTAGCAGGCAAGGACAACCTCGTGCAGCCTGGGGTTGCGCCAGGGTCCCAGCTGCAGGGTTTCCTGTTGGAAGCACTCAGTGCCCTGCGCTGTGGGGGCCCCTGTCTGTCCCCACCTGCTGTGGGAGGAGGTGGAGTGGAGCCTTTCTCAAAGTGGGGAGCGGTCCCAGGCCCCCAGTTCCTGAGCTGCCAGGATGCCTGGGGTGCGGGCAGGCTGGGGTCCCTGTGGTAGCTTCTTCGCCCGGCAGCAGCGGCCTGTCTGCCTTTGTCTGGGAGCTCTGCCGACCTTGGGAAGTTTCCATAGAAACCAGTGCTGAGTGGGCCGAAAACCAGGTTGGCCCGGGAAGTGGCTCCCTGAGGGGTGCCTTAGGCATGAGGCTGGGGGTGCGTGTGTCCACCTAGTAGCTGGCCCCCAGTGGGCCTGGAGGGCTCAGGGTGGGTCGGCAGCATCTGTGACGGGCCCCTCCCCTCACTTTGGGGAGGATACTTTGGCTCGGAGATGGGCTTGGCTTGCTGCCAGGAGAATGGTGGTCCCTGACCCCTGGGGCCTCAGGTATATTCCTGGCACCTAAGATATCCTGCCACCTGCTTCCCCCATGGAGGACCTGGAGGGGCAGAGCTGACCCTGCCCACACCTTCCCTTGAAGTCTCCAGGCCAGTGATGGTGGGAGTGATGGTGTCAGTAAGAGTCTGCCTTTGGTGGCAGCGTGGGCTGGAGGAGCGACAACACGGGGGTTGCCTTGGTGCTGTGGCCACAGGTGAGCTTTGATGGTTGAGCAGGAGTTCGGTGGCTGGGGCTTGCCAGGTGGAGCAGAGTGGGTGGGCTCTGAGCTGGGCTCTGGAGCCCCACAGTCTTGGGTGAATGTGGGCGCTGCCACCGGCACCTCAGTGCTCCCTGTGACCTCAGGTCCCCCAGCACCCCTACTCCAGCCGTCCTGCTCCTTACTTCACGTGAGAAGGGGTGGGGCAGCTCTGGGGACCCAGCATCCAGGTGCCGTCATCCTGTGGGGTGTGGATTGCACCCCCACCATGGGCCTACATTTCAGCAAGGTGTTTGGAAGAGGCCGCCATGTGGGCGGGGAGCCTGTCTTATGTTTCCCGCAGGACTCCAAGCCTCGCCCTTCTGAGCCCTCCTCACCCCTGCTATGAATACCCCCCCCGACTCTCGCCAGCCCTGGGCCCCACCTGTTGCACCCCGTCCCTGCCTCTGGGGTCTCCCCTGCACCCTGAGGTGCCTCCACCCTGAGCCTGGGCAGGGCCTGCACTGTGGAGTCTCTCGGGCCCCAATGCCTGACACGGGAGACCGTTTCCTGGCCCTGGGTCCCTCCCTGGAGTCCCGCGTGTCCTGTACCCCTGCTCTGTACCCTCCCCGGCCCCTGCCCCCCCCATCACACCTGGGTGCTGCAGCCTCGAGGGCTGGCCTGGAGCCTCATGGAGGTGCAGACACCAGGTGGGCGTCCCCAGAAGCCACGGTGGCCCAGAGGCACCTGGCAGGAGGGCGACTGGGAAGCCTCAGGAAGGTTCTGGCACAGCACAGGGCAGGAGTAGAGGCTGTGGCCCCTGTCCCTGTTGTCCCTTGTGGCCCAGGCCTTGCTGTTGGGCTCTGCTGCCCCTCAAGGCTGATGAGTGCCCACCCAACCTAGCGCTGGATTGAGGACTCTGGGGGCTCTGGGGCCGGGGCTGGGTGAGGGGCAGTTGGGAGGTGCTTACTGGGCTGACTGGCCCCTACGCATCCAGACAGGCCTGTGTGTGTCTCGGGGGATCGAGGCCCCACCTCCAGGCCACCATGGACACTTTCTTGTCAAGGAGCTAGCTTTTCTTTGCAGAAAATACTTCCCCTCTGTTTTGTGAATCGGTGGCCAGGGTGGTGAGCTAGGACGGGCCCTGCAGGATGGTGGTGAGGACCTGACGCTCGTTGGTGGGGAGCCCCCATTTGTTCATTCATCCATTCGCGAGCATGCCCTGAGCACCTGTGGGTAACACTGTGCCAACAGGCGTCTCAGGGCAGGGGTGGCCTGAACGTAGGTATCGGGGCACAGGGGCTAGGGGAGCCCCAGGGCCCTGACCCAGCTCAGTGACATCAGCGAGGGCTTCCTGGAGGAGGTGTCTTTAGAAGGTGTGGAGGGTATTGTCTGTGAAGTTCCTGCTGCTCTGAGCTTTCCCTTCAGAGCCAAAGCACCCCCTTCCTGTTGCACTCCCCTCCCAGCTCTCCTTCCGGCCACCTCCCCCCCGCAGCACCCACTGTACTCCACCCTAGGCCCCTGAGTGTGGCAGGTGTTCTGTGGGCCTGGTGGCTCCCCTCCCTCATTGCTCAGGAACCAGATCTGCCCCTGACAGGCTGGGGGCCTCATGCCAAGAGGCGTGGCCGTGGTTGGTCGGCCTGCCCAGTTCCCAGGGAGGCCAACCACCATCAAGGGGGAAAGTGCCACCCAGGCTCTCACTAACAGTGATGGGCTCTTGAGTCATGCTGGGCATGCTGGGGGTCCATCCGGCCTCTGCCCAGGTGTCCCTGGGGCCTGGATGTGTCCCGTGGGAGATACCTCCTTCCCCCATGTCCAGGGGGCCCTGGTATCCCAAGGTCAGGGCCTGTGTGCGGCCCAGCTCTGTGGCACCTGTGGGCTCTTTGCCTCGATGTGGCCTGTCCTCCTAGGTGGGATCACCCAAATGATGCCCTTGCCCCCAACTGTAGGCGGCCACCTTGAGGTACAGAGCTGGCGCAGATGCTGCCCCGAGTGACCCCGCTCATCCAGGGGGCCAGACCAGGGCCTGCTCAGCCATGGCTGTCTGTTGCCTGTCCAGTGCTGTCCCTTTCTGAAACCCTGGGGCCAGCAGGTGCCTGTGCACCGACTTTAGACCTGGCTGCTGAGGCCATGGGGCCCCTGGTCTTCTAGAGTGACCGCCCTCCCTCCCAGCTGTGTTTGGGGCACCTGTGGGCTGGGCTCGTCCCCTCTGTCCCCAGGTGGGGGTGGTAGCCTGGCAGGTGCAGGTCACAGCATCCTCAGTCGGGCCTTACCTTCTTCTGTGGCATGGCAGCAGTGGCTTGACACGGGTGGTCAGTGGAGGGGCTAGAATCAGACCCCTCCCCACAACTGAAAGGTTGTCAGTTTGAACCCACCCAGCAGCTGCTTGGGAGAAAGCCTCCATAAAGATGACAGCATGAAAACCCCGTGGACAGTCGCTCTGTGTCATGTGCCTTGACTGCACCCAACCACCTCAAGGAGGACCACAGGCCGGCTCCGATCCCGGCCAGCTCACTCCTTCCGGCTGCATGCAGACCCGCCTGCCTTGGGCCACCCCCAGCCCCTGCTCAGGGTGCTCGGCCCCCTAGCACCCCCTGGTCACTGCCTTCCCTTCGTCTGAGTGCTCCCCACACCATGGTGGTCCAAGGAAGTCTGTGCCTTGGCCCCTGCACGTCCCTGTTGATTTCCTGTGTCCACGGACCCCTGTGCGTGCCCTGTTGGTGCTGATACTGCTGGAGCCCCCACCTGTCCCTGTCTGCGGTGGGTCAGGCAGATGGGGTCCTCCTCACAGGGAGGCTGGGGTTCACAAACACGGCGGCATGTGTAGGTGTGCAGAGGGGCGTGGGGGCTCTGGGGCCCTAGGCCCTCTCCGAGGGCCGATGTGGACATGTCCGGAGGCTAAGAACTGGGGCTCCCTGGCCAGGCTCTCCCTCTGCCAGGCACCCGGGGCTCCGCGGGACCGTCCTGCTCCATCGGGGCTCTGCGGGGCCGTCCCTGGGGCTGTCTCTGCTCTATCCGGGTGACGCCTCGGTCGTATATTACGTTTATCTTCTTTGACGACACCTCACTAGGAGGAAAGCTGTCCCTGGGGTCTCTTAAAAGACAGCTCTTGTTAAAGATGAGGGGAGTTTAGTGAAAAGCTGGCAGGGCTCTCAGAGGAGGGGCAGGGCGCCTTGAGGCTGCGGGGAGGGTCTGGGGCCATGCCCTGGGTTCCACATCCTCTTTGAGGTCCCTTTGAGAAGACAACGTAGGCTTGAGAGGTCTTGGGGGGCTTTGTGGGGAGGTGGGTGGGGGCTGGGGAGCAGGGTGGTACCCATACTCCTTCTACCTCCTCTCAGGGACCTCAGCAGGGGCCACCTGTCCACGGAAGTCCAAGTGCAGACCCCCCACCGTGGGGTCCTTGGTGTTGCCTGTGGAGGGGAAGTGGGGGCCGGGGAGGGCAGCATAGCCCCAGAGGCCCCAGGTCTGGGCTGGGGGGTACGTGGCCATAAGGGGCCTGCTGGCGTACTGTGGGAGCCCCTGCAGGGAGCAGCTGGTGGCACGCAGAAGCCCCTGGGGGCCGGCGGAGGGCAAGCAGCTGGGCATGGGACCATGTCCTCAGGAGGCCTTCATGAACAGGGGGCTGTGGGGCTGTATGGGGAGACGTGGGATTGTGTGTGTGTATGTAGGTGCATATACATGTGTCTGTGTGAGAAGGTGTGCATGCGTGACGTGTGTGCATGTGTGCCGGAGTAAGAGTGCGGGTGTGAATGTGTGTGCAAATGCTCATTTGTGAGTCTGTGCAGGTGTGTACCTCTGTGTGCATGTGTGTATACGTGGGCCAGTGTGTGCCGTGCATATGCATGTGCACATGTGAGTGTGCATGTCTGTATGTGTGACTGTGCGTGCATGTTTGCATGTGTCTGTGTGTTCCTGTCCTGTCTGTCTCTGTGTGTCCCCGTCTTCTCTGTCTGTCTGTCTGTGTGTGTGCCGGCTAGGGCTTCCTATGACCGGACCGCTGGGTCCCAAACCTGCATCAGAACCACCTAGAGGGGGTGGAACCTGACGCCTGGGCCCACCCCGAGGGTTTCGGAGCCATGGGTCTGGGGTGGGACCTGGGAGTCTGCATCCTTGCGCGCTCCCAGATGCCCTGGAGGCAGCTGCAGGCTCTGTGGGTCCTGACTGTGAGAGCTGTGTGCTGGGCTCTTACTGGGGACCAAGACGTTGGAGGTGGCGTTGGGGGACAGCTGCAGAAACATGGGGCAGGGGCGGGAGGGCAGCAGGAGGAGGGGGCAGGCTGAGACCGCCCCAGCAGCTCCGGGGTGGGGTGGGGGTGGCCCTGCTGTCAGAGAAGGGGTGGCAGGAATGACAGCTCCACTCTGGTTCTGGGGACTCGGTGAGGGCGTGGGTGCACCGGAGCAGGGCCGTCCTGCGTTTATTGAGCGCCTCCTGTGTGCAGGCCACCATGCTGGCTACCTGGACTGTATTACTTCATCAGGCCACACTCAGGGCCTCCGCTGGTTGCAGGGTAAACTGAGGCACATGGCCTTGAGTGCCTGCCTTAACCTGGGCTGCTTAGGACAGGGATGCAGTGGGGTCCAGCCTGGGCCCCTGCCCTGTCCCGCTCGGCAGCTGGCCTGCTCAGAGAAGCACTCTGTGGGGTCCTTGCTGTCTCCTGCAACGTTTCCCTGCCAAGAACTGCCGTGGGCGTGGGGGCGGTGGTGGCAGGGAACGGCCACTGGCGCTGAGCCCCCTTCTCCCCCCCAGGGCTGCCCAGAAACTCAGCCTGGCCTCCAGGCGCAAGAAGCCTCCGCCCCCTCCGCCGGCCCCCGTGGCCCGCGGGGCCTCCACCTTCCCCACGGACTTCAGCGGCATCCTGCAGCTGTGGCCACCCCCTGCCCCTCCCTGCCTGCTCAAGGCTGCCAAGGCCAAGGACACCTCTGGTGGCGTCGGAAAGGTAGACCCCACCCTGCGTTGGGGGTGGCCCTGGGGTGCGGCAGGGAGGGGCAGCTGGAGGTGGGAGCCCACTTTCTCCTCCCAAGTTGGAGAAGGGTGGCCTGTGGGGCACAAAGGGGTTGGGGAGGCTGCTCTGGGGCATGACTGGCGGGGGGGGGGACAGCCAAGTCCCGGGAATAGGGCTGACCCAAGGACCCTCTTCTCTTCTGGGGACCTGCCTTCCTGTCCTTGGGGTGGGGCTGGGATTGGATTGCAAACCGTCAGATCCCAGCCACAGCCTGCCACTCCCTCAGGAAAAGGGGTGGGGAAAGCTGAGCCCCAGAGAGGGAAGGGCCTGGCCAATGCTGGGGGCTCAGACCTTGGGGTGTGGAGGCCACAGATCCCACTGGCTGCAGAGGGGCTTAATCAGCTCAGCCCAGTCTCTGTCCTGGCGCTGGGGTCACTTGGTGCAGTTGATCGAGCTCAGCGGGTGTCCATCACCTGGTGCAGGTGTACGTGAGCAGGCGTCCGTGTCACCTGGTGCAGGTGACCACGTGAGCGGGTGTCTGTCACCTGGTGCGGGTGACTATGTGAGCAGGTATTTGCATCACCTGGGGCTTTAACCCCCTCGAGGCCCCCACCCCCAGGCAGTGCTTATGTGGGACTTTCTGGGGTGGGCCCCCAGCCCCCCAGCCCTTCCCCAAGGCAGACCCTTCTGTGGCCCTCAGGGCCCAGCCCTGGCCTGAGGTGGGGGTGGCTGATGTTGGAGGTGGCAGTGGGTGGGGCCATTTAAGGAGCGTGATGTGGGAGGTGGGAGGCACCACTCACAGCCCTGGTGGCTAGCAGGTCGGTTTGAACCGCCAGCCTTCTGGTTAGCAGTCAAGTGCCTTAGGCACTATGCTACCAGAGCTCCCAGCAGGTTGGGGTACGGACCATGTAAATATCCTTGAGGTCACCTGCAGGGAGGGCCGTGTCCTGGGTGCATGTCCAGGCCCTGTGGGTGGCGCTTCTTGTGGACGTCCAAGGGGGCTACCACTCAACACGGCCTCCCTGCTGCCCCCTCTTGTCAGCCCTGGTTACCATGGCTGCGGGGGCTGAGATGCCTGCCCCCAGTCTTCCTGGGTGGTTCCAGGGTGGCTGTGCCCTTGCGTGGCCACTCGTGGTCTGCCCAGCCCAGGGGCAGGAAAAGGGCAGGCCACCAGCTGCCTGGTGACATTGTCAATCTTGCCTTGCTCCGGCTCTTGGGGGGACAGCTGGGTGGCCCAGCCTGGTCCCTGGGTGGGCAATGCTGAGGGCTTGAGGGTGTGGGAGGGGCTTCTGTCTCCCTGGCATGGAGGAGGGGACAGACATATGGGGCCCAGGCCTGCCTCTCCCCCCTCCCAGCTGGCTCCCTGGCCTGCAGGCCCTAATGAAGTGGAGAGTGGCACTGAGACTTTCACGGTGGCACCGTGGTGACTGGGCAGTGTGGCTGCAGAACCTGCTGGCAGGCCGACCCAGGGTCCGCCTGCTGTGACCTTGTCACTCTGCCTGTCTGTGCTCTAGAGCCTCCATCTGCAACTCCCCTGAGTGTGGTCACCCCAGTGTGGTGACGACTCGCCGGTTAGTGCGCGGGAGACGGGGTGCACACCCGGGACGTCACACTTTGGCTGTTCCTGTTTTGTTATTAGTCAGGGATGGCAGGCCTCCCTCACTACCACTCCTGGGGGCCTGCTTCACCCAAGTATTCCTGGACTTCCCCTTCCTCCCCAGGCAGACCCCCAGTGCCCCAGTTCTGGCTGCGGAGTGGTCCCCACCCCCCACAGCGCCCAGTGCTGCTATCAGCCGTCAGAAATGGCGCCTGTAAGACATTTAGTATCGTCATGGAAAAGAACTTAGATCACCTCCCGTTTCTGGCATTAATGTGCTACTTAAGTTAATTCATCACATTGTGGGATTGAAGAAGGCTTCCGGCTGGGTGGGTGCCTGGCGCCCCTCCCCCTCCTTGCCCAGGCCGCCTCTTGGGAGCTGCAGAGCCTTTTTTATGCAAAATGTTTTTTCCTCCCCGGCTTCTGTTCAGTGGGGCTTTGTCAAATCTGAACATTTAGGGGAGAGATTTGACATGCTTATTGCCTGCAGAGACCCCGCCATCTCCCCATAATGACAGGACTCTCCAGCTCCGACAATGGCCAGTAGCGCCTCCGGCCCCTCCCCAACCGCGCCCCACGGTGGCATTAATCTCCCGGGGGTGCCCCTTGGCCAGAGTGAAATCACTGCCTTCTCGCCAGCAAGTCTCTCAGATCCACAAGCCATTTGGCTCCTGAAGTGCCGAGAGTTCACGCTGGAAAAAAATCACCAAAAACGACCGGGTAGTGCACGTTTTGTCTGTTTGCGGTGGCGCTTGGAAATGAAATCGTCGTGTTCATGTCATTGGGGAATAGAGAATCGATTCCTGCCTAATGGAGGCTGCGTGGCCGCGTTCGCCGTCGCAGGACGGAGGGGCCCCTCTGTGCCCCCCGCTGCCAGACCGGGGCGGCCCCAGCAATCTTGCGTATCAATTTGCCCCGCGCCCAAGGGGAGCTGAAGGCGCCGTGTGCGAACTGCCCGCAGTAAACCAATTTTGCTGGCGTTATGTATCTGTCACTTACAATTAAATCCGTGACAAATATTGACTCTGAAATGAGTCGGGTAATTTGATCTGCACCGGGTGGAAGACTTGGCGCTGTCATCGGTGAGTGGACGCGCTGTTCTCCGGCGGCAGTGGGACCCGGTCCTGGCTTGTGGGCAATGTCCCCGGCCCTGCAGTGTCCTTACACAAAAGACGCTTTGTGGGTGCTGGCTCTCAACGTGGGGTTCAGGGTGTCTGCCGGCATGATGCTGCTCACCTGGTCTCTCGGCCGGCCTGCAACGCCGTGTGCGCAACGACACTGGGGATGTCGCTGGGGAGGGGTGCCCAACGTCGTCATTCGGTCACTAAGGGTTCACTGAGCACCTACTGTGAGCTGGCCCCTGCCCCAGCTCTGGGGACAGCCAGAACCAAGCCGGGCCCCACCCCATGGAACTGACATGCCTGGATGGACGTCGGAAACACACCCACAGTAAACAACCCACTGGTTCACTGTGTCGGGGGGATGACGGGCAAACGGCAGGGAGCCTTGAGGCCCTGCTGCCAGCTCCGGCCTCCAGCTCCACGCCTGCACTCCAGCCCCTCCTACTGCACAAAACCCCCTCCCCAAAGCTGCCCTGGGGCCCGGGCAGGGCAGGGGCCCCGGTTTTGTGCCTCAGCTCTCCTGCTGCTGTTCCCCCGAACCTGACCCCTTCAGGGCTGTGGGGAGGTGCAGGACAGGGGCCGAGGGCGCCTGGCACTGTGGGTCGTCACGAGGACATAGCGGGGCCAGCCCCACTCTGCCCTCCATTGTTGGAACAATTGCAGGAGAAAAGAATGATGTATGAACGAGTGAGTGGGTGGACATGCAAACATGTGACGTGGCCCTCACACCTCAACCTCCTGGGCTGGAGGGTGGGGCAGTGGTCCGCTGCCTGTCCTGGGCGGGTGGGGGAGGGCTGGGATGTGCTAGGAGGTGGGCAGGGACTCTGAGGTCCTGGGGTGCCTGGCTGGGTGTTGGGGACCCAGGCACTGGCCCTTGCTGCTCTCAGGTTGTGATTGGCCAAGACAGAAGCCTCTGTGAGCGAGTTTCCAACAGTTGAGCCCGTGTGGGTACCGAGGTGGGGTTGTGGTGGCTGTCTGTTTTGGGGAGCAGAGGGCTGGGGTGCGTGTGTGCTCCCAGGACACCCACATTGAGGGCTGGTCCCTCGCCCTCTGGGTGCCCGGAGCCCCCATGCAGTTTTGCCTGGTGGGGCACCCTGGGCCTCGCTGACCTCACTTGGGCCACTCGCATTCCTGTGGTGTGGGCCCGTGCCGGGTCCCGGCCTGCCGGCTGCGCACTGCGGCTCCTGCCCTGTAATTAGGCGGCCGGTGGGCAGGCGCTCAGCTGCTCAGACAACTCCTCCCGCCTCCCAGGTGAAAGTCATGTTGCGGATCTGGCCCTCGCAGGGCACCCAGCGCTCGGCTGAGTCCATGTCCTTCCTGAAGGTAGACCCGAGGAAGAAGCAGGTGACCCTTTACGACCCGGCCGCTGGGCCCCCGGGCAGTGCCGGCCCCCGGCGCGCAGCCAGCGCTGCGGTACCCAAGATGTTCGCCTTTGACGCTGTCTTCCCCCCGGACTCAGAGCAGGTACTGTGGGCGGGTGCCGGCGGAGGAGCGGGTCAGGTCTGCTCATGCTGGGTGAGGACATGAAGGGAGTTGGGCTGGGCCTACTGTCACCCTCCAGGCGTGTCCCCAGAGGGCCAGTGGCTGGGCCCTTGTTCTTGCCCCCACCCCCCACCGTCCTCATCTTCCAGGCAGTGGAGGAGCCCAGGAAAGCCCATGAAGGGCTGGCTGAGAGGTGGTTTATTTTGCCCAGGACACCAGTGGCTTTGGCCCCTACCGTGGGTCCTGAGGCAATGGGAGTGTGTGTGTGTGGCCCCTACCGTGGGTCCCGGGGGTGGGAGTGTGTGTGCGTGGCCCTTACTGTGGGTCCTGGGGGTGGGAGGGTGTGTGTGTGCCTTCGTGTGTGTGGCCCGTGTGCTGAGGCTGCGTGACTTTGGTGATTTGGGCATGTGTGTGAGTGCATTCGTGTGTGTCCACCTGCCGTGTGCCTGTCGGCACGTCCGTCCTCTGTGTGCTGTGTGGATCCCGTGTGTTGTTTGTGTATGCTCTGTGCATGCGTGTGCTTGCAGACCTTTGTGTCTTTGGTCCCATGCATGCCAGCCCAGTGCCCTGTGACTCACACTGTGTGATGGCCACAGTCAGGCTGCAGCCTCCCCAGCCCAGTGCCGCCCACTCACTCTGCACCACCTGCAGGCGGAAGTCTGCTCGGGGACCGTGGCTGAGGTGCTGCAGGCTGTAGTCAGTGGGGCCGACGGCTGCGTTTTCTCCTTCGGCCACACGAGCCTTGGTAAGAGCCTGCCGCTTTGCCCTCGTCATCTTTGTCCATCTCTGGGTGGGCGGGAGGGTCTCACTCCACCAGATTGGGCTGGGGCTTGTGGACAGGAAGCAGAGGCTCTGAGGCCTGGAAGGCCCGGCACTGGGTCAGGGGAGGCTCCCAGGGTCTCAGTGGCCCCGGGTTGGCCCTTGAGTGCTGTGGCCTGGGGCCAGGGGCTGATGTGTTCCACGTGGCCCTCAGGCAAGTCCTACACCATGATCGGCAAGGACAGCTCCCCGCAGAGTCTGGGCGTCATGCCCTGCGCCATCTCCTGGCTCTTCAGACTCATCCACGAGCACAAGGCGCGCACGGGCACCCGCTTCTCAGTGCGTGTGTCTGCGCTGGAGGTGTGCGGCCGCGACCAGACCCTGCGTGACCTGCTGGCCGGCCTGGCTTCCGGCAGCCTCCAGGACACACAGTCCCCAGGCGTGTACCTTCGGGAGGACCCTGTCTTTGGGGCGCAGGTACGCCAGCTCCTGCACAGCTGCTGGGGGACATGGGGCGTGTTTCCGTGTGGTGGTGGTTGGCGGGCGGGATGTGCTGGGCCTGCCCACTGAGGAGCCTACCCGCCCGCCACCGCAGCTCCAGAACCAGAGCGAGCTGCGGGCGCCCACGGCCGAGAGGGCAGCCTTCTACCTGGACGCGGCCCTGGCTGCCCGCAGCTCCAGCCGGCCCGGCTGTGGCGAGGACGCCCGGCACAGCTCCCACCTGCTGTTCACGCTGCACGTCTACCAGTACTGCATGCTGAAGTGTGGCCGGGGTGGAAGTAGGTGCTTCGGGCTAGGGTACTCGCGTGCATGGCGTGTGTGTGCGTGGGTGGTGTGTGGGTGCATGCATGTCAGTGTGTGCACGCAGGGCATGTGCGTGCATGGGAGTGTGTGCATGCACAGTAGTGTGTGCATGCCTGACAGTGTGTGTGCACAGTGGGTGTGTGCATGCCTGGCAGTGTGTGCATGGGCATGTGTGTGTGTGCATTCATGGGTGGTGTGTGTGCATAGGTGGTGTATGTGCACACATGGGCATGTGTGTATGTGGGCATGTGCATGTGCATGAACATGTGTGTGCATAGGCATGTGTGCACATGGTGGATTGTGTGTGTATGCATGACAGTGTATGTATGGGCATGTGTGCATTCAGGGGTGATGTGCACGTGTGGGTGTGCATGAGTGGTATGTGCACAAATGGGCATATGTGTATACGGGTGTGTGTGCATGCATGGTTGTGCGTGTGCACAGGCATGTATGTGGATGTATAGTGATGTATGCGTGCACAGGTGGTGAGTGCATGTGTAGATTTGTGTGAATGGGTGTGTGTGTGCATGGGTGGTGTGTGTGTGCGTGCATCGTGGTGTGTGTGTGTGCATGGCTGTGTGTGCATGACTGTGTGGATGGTGTGTCTTGTATTCGTGGATGGTGCATGTGTGTTGTACTGTGTGTGCTGTATGCATGTGTAGTGTAAGGTGTGTATTGTGTGCATGGCTTGTGAGTGTGGCATGGGTGGTCTGCATGTTGCCAGAGAGTAGGCTTGCCTGGCCAGCTCCCTGCCCCCTGCCCCCAAGGTGTCCATGTGCCCATCCCCTGATGCTAGTGGCACCGTGGAGGTGGGCTGTGCCTGTGGCCATGCTCACCGCCTGCCCTTGGTTGCAGTGTCTGGGGGCCGTAGCCGCCTGCATCTCATTGACCTGGGCAGCTGTGAGGCAGTGGCATCCAGCCGGGGCGGGGAGGCCCCTGGGGGTCCCCTGTGCCTGTCCTTGTCGGCCCTGGGCAGTGTCATCCTGGCCCTGGTCAACGGAGCCAAGCACGTGCCCTACAGGTGAGGGGTGGGCCCTGGGGGATGGCTGAAATGTGTCTGGTGCAGTTGGTCCTGGGCCCAGGGGACTGGGAAGAAGGTGATGCAGACCAGAGCCTGGGGGCTTCAGTTCAGTCCCGCCCCTTGCCCACCCAGCCCCTGCTCTGCCCACTGCATGGCCTGAGCCTCCCTCTGGCCCCAGGGACCACAGGCTGACCATGCTGTTGCGAGAGTCCTTGGCCACCACCAGCTGCCGCACCACCATGATTGCACACGTCTCAGATGCACCGGCCCACCACGCTGAGACGCTCAGCACTGTGCAGCTGGCTGCTGGAATCTACCGCCTGCGTCGGAAGAAGGCCAAGGTTGGGGGCCCCAGGGTCAATGCCGGGCTCTGCAGTCCCTGAACCCCTGCTGCACGAGGGCTGTCCGGGTAACCCGTGGGGCTGCATTCTGCCTGTCCTGCCCCTCCACCAGGCCAGGGAGCCTCCCTGTGCCCCTGGAGGCCTGGTGTGGTCCTCTGGGTCAGGTGTCTGGGATGTTGGCTGTGGACACAGGTCCTTGCCCGTGGGCTCCGTTTCCTGCCTGCAGGATGGCCTGTGCTGTTGTCCCTGTGCGGTGGCTGAGCACTCTGTCACATTTGCACTTGACCCCCTGTGACACCATCCCTGTGCTCAGTGGGGCGTGGTCATGGCACTTACTGCTGTCCTTGCTGTAGGGGTGCAGGGGGAGAGGAGGCAGGTCCTGCTGGGAGCTCATGGGTGCAGGGAGGGCATGGTGGAGGGGATGCTGGCTGCTGACCTGGGGTCTGTGCCCCTCCCCAGTACGCATCCAGCTCCTCTGGGGGAGAGAGCTCGTGTGAGGAGGGCCGTGCTCGCCGTCTTCCGCCCCTGCGGCCCTGCTCCCAGCGCACTGCTGCCCTGGACCCCGAGCACCGGGCACCTGGTGACCCCGACTACTCTTCAAGCAGTGAGCAGTCCTGTGATACCGTCATCTATGTGGGGCCCGGTGGGACAGCGCTGTCCGACCGAGAGCTCACTGACAACGAGGGTCCCCCTGACCTAGTGCCCATCATCCCAGCGCTGGGCCGCCGCCGGCCCTCGGAGGGGCCCCGGGACGCTGACTGGGACCACTTTCGCTGCAGCACCTTTGCCGAGCTGCAGGAGCGGCTTGACTTCATTGACGGCAGCGAGGGGCCCTCTGTGGTCCCGGCCAGCCCTGCTCTCGTGGCCAGGAGGCCCCTTCCCCCTGAGGCAGCATACCCCAGGAAGGCTGTGTGTACCCCACTTGTGGCCAGCATGCCTCTTGGCAGCCCCATCCCAGATCCCCTTAGGGGCACCCCTGAGCCCTCCAAGACGGGCACCCGGGGGGACCAGAGAGAGGACAGTGGCCTCAGGCCTGAGCTACCCAGCCCGGCCCCTGCCCCACCGCCGCAGCCAGAGGAGCCCGGGGGAAGTGGTACAGACGTTGCCGTTCGGACAGCCCCCGCAGGCTGCCCCTGCCTGCCGGCTCGAGGCCGCTGCCTGGACCGGGGCCTGCTGACCGCCACGGTGACCCTGCAGCAGCCGGTGGAGCTCAATGGGGAGGACGAGCTGGTGTTCACGGTGGTGGAGGAGCTGCCGCTGGGCGGCCTTGCTGGCCCGCGGCCCGCCAGCCTGGCCAGCTTCGGCAGCGACTGCTCCCTGCAGGCCCTGGCCTCCGGCTCTCGGCCCGTCAGCATCATCAGCAGCGTTAATGATGAGTTCGAGGCGTGGACCTCGCAGGCCACTGACGGCCCTGGGGCACTGCAGGGTTCCGGCAGCCCCGGCTCCTCCATTAGCTCGCGGCTCAGCGAGGTCCACGTGTGCACAGCCAACAGCCGAGGCCCCACGCCACAGCTCCCTGCCCAGGCCAGCCCCGACCCTTTCAGCTGTGGTGCCCCTGCGGGGCCTGGTCCCTGGGGGCCTCCTGCCGTGGAGGGCTCCCTGGAGGACAGTGGCTTTGGGCTCTCAGAGCACAGCAGATTGGACAGCCCAGCCCCGGCCCCTCCCCGGGAGGCCCCGGCCCCTGCAGCTCCCTCTCGGGCTGGCAGGGAGCTCTGGGCAGGGTCCCCCCGGGGGCCACTCCCAGCGCAGACTATTCATTCCAGTCTTCCCCGGAAGCACAGGACTGCCTCCCCGGCAGGCCGAGAGGGCAGCGTGCGCCTGGGCGCTAGTCCCCGGTGTCCCGAGGGCCTGTTGGAGGACCCGTGGCTGCCCCGAGCAGATGAGGCTGGTAGGGCCTCCACCCCGACTTTGGGCGTCCCTTGGCCTCTTGAGGCCCAAGCGCTGCCGGCGTGTGCCCAGAGGGTGGTGGCTGGGTGTGAGCTGGCCAGTAGGGCAACCCGACGGCCCGAGGCAAGGATCCCGCCTCTGCGGAGGGGTGCCACCACGCTGGGTGTGACGACACCCACGGCATTCTGTGAGGACACGCCTGCTGAGGCCGCAGCCTCTTTGGGCAGCTTAAAGGCCACCTCTAGCAAGAAGAGCACCACCCCCAAGGGTGGCCCCCTCCCGAGGCCTGGTGGGGTGGTGCCCCCTGCCCCACCCGTGCGCAAATCTAGCCTGGAGCCCAAGGGTAGCCCGGTCCTGGCCCCTACCCCAGCCGTGGGCCTCCCTCGGGATGCCATGGCTGTTGCCGTCCGAGGGGAAGAGGCGGCCAGGCCCAGTGGCCGGGGGGACCACCCCGTTCCCAGGGCCACGTCCAGCCTGAAGGTGCGGGCTGGGAAGGCTGAGGCTGCACACCGTCCCGCCGGGTCTGCGTCACTTGAGCGGCCCGAGGGCCTGGCACATGGCAGTGGCAGGGCCAGGGAGCCTGCTGGACGGCCGGGCCGGGCCGTGCCCAGGCTGGGAGTACCCCCTGCCAGCCCTATGCCGGGGCCCATTCCCACCTGCAGGGGCAGCCCCACCAAGGGCATCGGGAACCCCAAGCCCCCAGTTGTGGGCGGCAAGGGCCGCAGCCTGGCAGCCAGTGGGGCAAGGACTCTGAGCTCCTCGGTGAGATCACTGGCGCCTGTGGTAGCCGGCAGGACCCCCGGCGGCCCCGTGGTGGGGCCCAGGGTGGCCTCGCGGTCAGCACCCAGTGCTGGGGCCAAGGCTGGCCGGGGAACTGTCATGGGCACCAAGCAAGCGCTACGGGCCGCTCATAGCCGCGTCCATGAGCTGGCGGGGGGTGGTGGTGTGCCCGGGCACTGTGGCCCCACGTGGGGCGTGGCTGACTCAGACAGCGGCAACGACAGTGGCGTCCATGTCAGGGAGGAGCGTCTGCCCGAGGGCGCGGCCCTGCCCTCCCCCTACAGCAAGGTGACAGCCCCGCGGCGGCCCCAGCGCTACAGCAGTGGGCACGGTAGTGACAACAGTAGCGTGCTGAGCGGCGAGCTGCCCCCTGCCATGGGCCGCACGGCCCTGTTTTACCACAGCGGCGGTAGCAGTGGTTACGAGAGCATGATCCGAGACAGCGAGGCCACCGGCAGCGCCTCGTCCGCCCCCGACTCCACGAGCGAGAGCGGGGCCGCCTCCCCGGGCGCCCGCTCCCGGAGCCTCAGGCCCCCCAAGAAGAGGGCTGCAGGTGAGCCCTGCTCCCCACCGTCTAGATCTGTGGGGCCCGTGAGGCTGGGCCAGGCCAGCGTAGGCCCCAGACACCGCCCTCAGCAGTTTAGAGACATAGGAAGGCGGTTGGGCAATCTACTTCCATAGAGATACCGCCTCGGAAACCCAAGGAGGGGTCTCTGTGAGTCTGGGCTGACTCCATGGCAGTGAGTTGCCCAAAATAAGTGCGCACAGCTCTCTAGACCCCAGGTGTGCATGACACCCTGCAGTTTACAGACTGCTGGGTTTACAGTGTCCACATGCATAGCCCACTACGGTGTCAGATCCCAGCTGCCTGTGGCTGGTCCCCACCCGTTGGAGTAGCCTGTGTGGGTCACTCGTCTTGTTTCTTGCGGAGCTGGGAGTGGACGTGGCTTTGCGGGTTGTACCCTAGCTGCCCGGAAGCCCCTAGACAGGACAGCTTCTGCCTCATGCCAGGTCTCTGGGTTGTGGGGACTCTGGGTTTCAGGGGCTTGTCTCCCATGCTGTGTGAGAGTGGGGCAGGGGCAGGATGCACACTAGGGCCTGCTGGGGCACAGGCTGGGTGGGTGCCAGGTGTTCTGGGATGTGGGCAGCAGGGAGGGTGTGAGGTGGGGCACAAGTGGCCAGAGAGAACTTGTGACGGCCCCGTGCAGGGTGCTGGACAGGGTGTGGCTGCTGCTCCAGGTGGGTGCTGTGGGCCGGCAGGGCTGGGGGGCCGAGTGCTGGGGAGGGAGGCGGCGTTGACCACATCCCCTGTGCTTGGCAGGGGCAGTCAGAGGGCACTTGAGCCGGGTGGAAGCCTCCTTGCTCAGTCCCTGGGCTTGTCCTCTGACCCGTGGGGCTGCAGGCAGGTGTCTTCCTTGGCCTGGCTCCCTCCCGGGTGGGCCAGGCTCACGCGTGGTGCTCCACTCCAGGTCTGCAGCGGCGCCGGCTGATCCCGGCCCCGCTGCCCGCCACTGCCGCCCTGGGCCGCAAGCCCAGCCTCCCCGGGCAGTGGGTGGACCTGCCGCCGCCTCCGGCTGGGGCGCTGAAGGAGCCCTTTGAGATCAAGGTGTACGAGATTGACGATGTGCAGAGGCTGCAGCGGCACCGGGCGGCCCCCCGCGAGGACCCCGCCGAGGTCAGGGCGGGGGCAGGGCTGGGGGTGGGGCTGGCGGAGGGAGTGGGTGCTCCGGTGGGGCTGCGCTGGCCCCGGGCGTGTGGCTAGACCCTGACCCCTTCCTTCCTCTGCACAGCCCTTCCCGGATGCCGAGAAGGTAGGGAAGCTTCACTACCCCGGCTGCAGCCCCGGGTGCCCTGGCCGAGGGCAGATGGCAGGAGGGAGTCCCAGGCCAGGGCTGGTGTCCCAGAGGCCCCGGGTGCCCTGGCCGAGGGCAGATGGCAGGAGGGAGTCCCAGGCCAGGGCTGGTGTCCCAGAGGCCCCGGGTGCCCTGGCCGAGGGCAGATGGCAGGGGGGAGTCCCAGGCCAGGGCTGGTGTCCCAGAGGCCCCGGGTGCCCTGGCTGAGGGCAGATGGCAGTAGGGAGTCCCAGGCCAGGGCTGGTGTCCCAGAGGCCCCGGGTGCCCTGGCCGAGGGCAGATGGCAGGAGGGAGTCCCAGGCCAGGGCTGGTGTCCCAGAGGCCCCGGGTGCCCTGGCTGAGGGCAGATGGCAGAGGGGAGTCCCAGCCCACGGCTGCTGCCCCGGATCCCCTGGGGGACCCACATTGTAGAACAGGTCTCAGGAGCACCTGGCCCCACTATGGCCGAGTTGGGTGTTGGCATGCCCTGAGCCCCTGTGTCCCCAGGGCCAGGTGAGTGGGGGTGCCCGGCTACGGCTAGCAGAACGCAGGCTGCAGCGGCTGCGGGAAGTGCGGGCCCGTCGGGATCGTCTGTGCGAGGAGCTGGTGGAGACCCAGGACCGCCTGATGGTAGAGCCAGGCCGCTGGCTGGGGCAGTGTGAGTACCCCTACCCGCTCCGGCTGGGGCAGTGTGAGTGCTGCCTTCCCCCATGGCTGGGGCAGTGTGAGTGCCCCCCCATGATTGGGGCGGTGTGAGTACCCCCCCATGATTGGGGCAGTGTGAGTGCCCCCCTATGGCTGGGGCGGTGTGAGTACCCCCCCATGGCTGGGGCGGTGTGAGTGCCCCCCCCATGGCTGGGGCGGTGTGAGTACCCCCCCATGGCTGGGGCAGTGTGAGTACCCCCCCATGGCTGGGGCGGTGTGAGTGCCCCCTACCCCCCCCAGCTGGGGCAGTGTGAGTACCCCCCCCGCTGGAGCAGTGTGAGTGCCCCTCCCCCAGCAGTGTGAGTGCCCCCTCCCCTCTGCTGGAGCAGTGAGTGTACCCCTAGCACTGTGAGTGTCCACCTCCCTGGGTGACCTTGAGGCACCATCCTCTTGGAGCCCCTGCTGCTCTGTGGGGCTTGGGGAGAGGGCCTTGCACCAGTCCAGCTGGGCCCCGCTGAGGGAGCAGGATGGGTGGGTGCTGCCTGAGCTGGGTCTGACCATGTCCACTGCTCCCCAGTCGAGGTGGACCCGGAGCTGGAGCCAGAGTCGGCCGAGTACTTGGCGGCCCTGGAGCGTGCCACGGCTGCCCTGGAGCAGTGCGTCAATCTGTGCAAGGCCCATGTCATGATGGTCACCTGCTTTGACGTCAGTGTCACCACCCCTGCCACCACCCCAGGGCCCCAGGAGGTGGACGTCTGAGGCCAAGGACTGGGCCAGTGGGAAGGGGACGTGGAGGGGGCGTAAGGATGGGTGATGTGGGGGCGAGGACGTGGCAGGGTTAGAGGGACGAGGACGACGCAGGACCAGGGGTCTGAGAGAGGCGATGGAGTGTGGGGGAGGGGAGCCGCGGGAGAGGGCAGAGCAAGTGTGAGGGATGGAGCCCGAGACCGTGCCACCAGAGAGCAATGCAAGTGCCTTTTACCTGAATGAGTACTGTTCTGTTTCCATTTGGTGCTAAGCGCCGGCAGGGGCTGTGCAGTGGCCCACGCCTGTTTGCAGCAGGAGCCCGGGCTGTGGGGCCTGCACACCTGCCACACCTTCTTTGCCACCAGTGTTTTATGTAGCAGGGCGCCCCGTGCCTGCCAGGGGTCTTGTTCAGGAGTCAGGACGATGTTTCCTCTGCGGAGGTCCTGGGCCCAGATCTGTGTGGGGCCCCACCCTCCCGGCACCTGCCCGCTCCTGCCCGGGACCTGGGGTCGGGGGCTCGGGGAAGGCCTGGTGCCTCCCTCCACGGCAGGAATTCTTACCAAAACCACAGCATAAAACACAACACATGCAAAAAAAAAAAAAAAAAAAAAAAGTGAGGGGGCGCAAGGGTTTTGTAAGCTCTGGTTAGTTTCCTATTTTTATACCGTTTTCCTTTGGAGCGCTTCTGCACCGAGATTGAGAGCAGAGGCCTGCTTCCACGTTTTTTCTACCGGGTCCCCCGTTGGCTGCGTGCAGCTGTGGGGAGGGCTTTGTCAGGACATGCTGCTCAGCGCCTGCCCTGGGTGCTGTGCTCCGTGGGCACTGCCCAGACGTTTGTACGAGTGTGCGATAACACCGTGGCAGCTTTGTGAATAAAAGACACACCACTTGTTCGCCAGGCTCCTGCCATCACTGGGCGTCGGGAAGGAGGGTTCTGGGCAGAGGGGAGGGGCAGCAGGGTGTTGGAGGGACCCATCACACTGGAGAGGGACAGGAGACAAGTCCTCAGAGGGTCACCTCCTGCAGGGCCGCTGCAGCTCTAAGCTGTGTTTCCCCCGTCCCCCTTCCCAAGCCACACTCTATGCTTTGCCCAGCTCTTGGGGTTCCCGGGCCGAAGTGGAGAGCCAGGGCGGGGGCTGGGCTGGGCCGGTGGAAGTAGCATTTTCTGGGGCTTCTTTTGGGTTGTGAGCAGCCCCTTCTGAGAGCCCTGGTCTCCTTCCTTCCATCCATCCCCCCCGAGGGGGACATCAAGTGCCAGACCCCAGGGCCTGCCTGTGGGACAGCCGGCTAGTGCCTCGGGGGCTGGGCTGGGAGCTGCTCCTGGGGTGTCAGGGCCACTCCGTCCTGACTTCACTTCTCTGTACGCTCTGGTGACCAGGAGCTCCAGGGCCCTTTTGGGGAGCCGACCCGCTGCGCTCAGCCCCCCCACCCCCCTGGGCCTGCCTGATGTCTCCTGGACCACCTGGGGTCCCTGCAGCGTGGCTGCTCTCTGGTCTGTGGTGGGGGGCTACAGGCCCCTCGCTCACATGGCTCCCTCCAAACCTGCTGCCTCTCCTAGTGCCAGGCCTCCAAGGCTGCACTGGGCACCCTCCTACCAGCCCCTTGCAGTCTCGGCCTGCCGTGCCCACGTCCTGGCCCTGAGCTCCCCTGCTGGGTGCTGTCCAGTGCCTGGGGGTGCACAGCCACCTGCCTCTTTCACCCTGACACCCTTGCCCCCCCGAACCTTGAGTCTGGACCTCCCCTGGAATCCATTGATGTGCCAGGTGGGACCATTGTAGTCACACCATGGGGGGTCCAGGAAGGGGCCCACTGCAGTCACACCATGGGGGGTCCACCAGGTGGGCCCACTGCAGTCACACCATGGGGGGTCCACCAGGTGGGGCCACTGCAGTCACACCACGGGGGGTCCACCAGGTGGGATGGGTGTCTATAGTCAGCCACACTGTGTGGGGGTCCACCAGGTGGGGCATCTGCTGGAGGAAGGGAGGAAGGAACACATGGACTACGCTGTCAAGGAAGGGGCTCAGCTGGACGTCAGCATGAAGTCCACGAGATGCCTCCCTGGTGTCCACAATGACCCCTGGGAGCAGACCAGGCAATCCAGTGGCCATATGGCTGTCCACCCCAGTCCTCACCCACCTGCCCCCTCACCCCTGGCTTCAGAAGTCACAGGTGCAAGGTGGGAGGTGGCTAGGGCCCTGCCTCCTCCCCTGCCCCATTCTCCCTCTATTTTGAGGGAGCTCTGGTGGCATAGTGCCTAAGGCACTTGACTGCTAACCAGAAGGCTGGCGGTTCAAACCCACCAGCCACTCCTCGGAAGGAAGGCTGGGCAATCGCCTTCCGTAGAGATATTGCCTCGGAAACCCAAGGAGGGGCCGCTATGAGGCGGATCGGCTCAACGGTAGTGAGTGTGGTTTGGGTTTCTAGGGATGGGTGAGGCTGCTTCAACCAGCCTCCACTCAACCCTGTGTTTCTGTCACCAGACTTGAGAGTCCTTGGGGGAGGGGTTGGGGTGGGCCAGCAAGCTCTTTTGGGACCTTGACTATCAGAATCCACGGCCCCCACACTGCTGTGGCCAGGCCTGATTTTGCTTTGCAGGCACTGAGCCCACCTAGGGCCATGTGCCCGTCCTCTGGGGCCAGCTCCTCTGAGAGCTCTCACTCCCAGCATGCACTGCGTGGGCTCACCATGCCTCGTGGGAACGGGCTGGGTGCCTGGAGCAGGTCTGATGGGTCCCTTCCTTCTGCAGGAGCACCCCTGCTCCCTCCCACCCTCCGGTCACTGGAGGGCCCAGAGCTTCTAGCTGGAGCAGCTTCCCACCCTCAAGCCCCCTCCCCCCAGCCCCCTGCGGCAGGGGCCACGGAGGCGCTTCTGGAAGGAGGCCTGTCCTGGGCTGGCCTGGGGGCCTGGTGGCTTTCATGTGGGACATCAAAGCCCAACTGGTCTTACGGGCTGGGAGCCCTGCGGGATGCACCCGTTTTAGGCGTGGGAAAACTGTGGCTGCCTGGCCCCGCTGTCTGGAGGAGCCAAGGCAGCGTCATCTAGGCCACAGTCGCTTTCTGGCCAAAAAGGGTCCGTGCGCACCCTGCTTATTGAGCCTTGGAGAAAACAGGCCCAAGGAGAGTTGGGCCATGCAAGCCCCCCTCCACTGCTCTTTGGCGGCAAGCAGGTATGGGCAGCCGGGGGCGGGTGGGATGTTGCCAGTGGTGGGTCAGGTGAGTGGGGCCACGGTGGTGAGCAGGCCTGTGGTGGTGTGTGGACCCTCCAAACCTCAGGCTGGGTGGCGTCTCTCTGGCTCTGATGCGGGCCTGGCGCCTGGCCCGTCAGCTCCCCTGGGCAAGGTACTGCCTGACTCACACTGCGGGTCCCAGCCTGCCTGCCCACTCTGCCCATCCCAGCCCTGGGCATCTGAGACCACATGGGGGGGCGCAGGGTGGGGGCAACCTGAGAAGGGTGCCCAGGGTGGGGGCTCACTGGCCCAGTGGGTGACTAGGAGAATCCTAGCTGACAATGGCCCCCCTGGCCTGTGGGCTGTGGGAGCTGTCTGCCAGCCTGGCCCCCAGAGTGAGAGTCTGTGGACAGTGTCTGGGGCCCCACAAGGCCAAGGCCACTCTCTCTGCTGGGTGGGAGGAGGGTTGCTCGCCTTCAGGGATCAGGGTCCCAGGGGGAGGGGAAGAGCCAGGGACCCAGGAGGAAGTTCTCTGCTCTCCTCCCCTTTTCACCTTCCTCCCCCCCACGCCCGCCTCCTCCCT